CAGCCATTGTAACTTTTGTTCATCAAACTCTTTTTACTTAAGATAGCATTTTTTGACCTCCATGTTCTATATTACAGATCTTTCGTCACCTTCACAATAGTGACAACCTCTCTTCTGTTAGTTATTCTTTTAAGATTGAGTTCATTGTGCTTAATTCAACACGTTTCCCTTGCTTTACTAAGTTCTACTTAAATTATGATGAAATGTACGTAAAACAACTTTTTCAAATAATATAAATCATTCTGCTTTAAATCTTTTGCTCTTTGTACTAGACATCTGTCCTAAATACTTTGTAATAATTTCTAGCTAACTCTGAGTCTAATATAACCATTTCTGAATATAATTTCCCTGAGGCTCCTACAGCCTATTGTGTTCCATTAAAAGTAACTAGTTTTTGAGTCCAGATATTAATTATAAGCATTTAAAGGTTCACATTACTATTCATTTTCCTGATATATAGAATCCTATTTGCATACGTATCTCTTTCTGTAAATTCTGTTTTATATAGTTTCTTGATTATATATTAAATAAATATTACTATTCACTTAGTTGAATGAACGTATAGCTCATTCAGTTAAGACATTTGGCCGCGTAGACCCAGGTTCACATCCCGCTGTTTCACATATATTTCTTCTCTTTTTACTCTTTCTGATATCATTTACCTTTAGAGAGATCTCTCGTTCTTTATAATAAAGTATTTAATTGTTTATCACACATCCTCTTTATACTTTTTAAAAAGAAAGGCATACTGTTTATCTGTTCATTGAGAGTCCAACTTAACGGGATTTTACTGTATATATATATATATATATATATATATATATATATATATATATATATATATATATATATATATATATATATATATATATATATATATATATATATATATACATATATATATATATACATATATATATATATATATATATATATATATATATATATATATATATATATATATATATATATATATATATATATATATATATAAATGTCTACATATTTATATATATATATATTATAATTTTATTATTTATTATTTAAACTGTTAACAGTTAATATCTTAAATATATCGTAACATAAAATCTTTTGCGTCTTTTTCGTAACTACACATTCCGAAATGCTTTTTCCGTAAGGAACTATTTCGTAAGTATTCTTGCGAAATGATTTGTTTCGCAAGTTTTCTTTCGCAATGCTTTATTACGGAATTTTATTTACTATTTATATTTTCGTATAGCGCGTTACGGAATGTGCATTTTTGCATGTGCAACTTCCGCAATAACAATTCTATTACGGTAGATAAAGATGCGAAATTTTCGCAAGTTTTGATTTTCGGCGAACAACCCTAATCAAAACGTCATTATTACCTCTAACTTATTCAAGAAATAAAGCAAGTCTTCGACTATGATACAGAACTTTCCAAGGAAATCTGGAAACATAAAGCCGCAGGTAACATGCCTATAATTAAGTGGAACATAATTAAAAGATGCCAATATTATAACCCATCTACAAAAAGGTGTAACCTCTGCATCAATGAAAAATATTTTGTTATGACTTTTGATAGTCAACAAAAGAGTGAACTAGTTTCTGCTTGTAGGTATAGGAAAATATTTTTACTTTCTTACTTTTTGCTAAAGTAAAGCATATTACGTGATTTGCTATCGAGAAAAGGTATTGACTTATACAAAACACCTGTTACAGAGGACACCTTTGTTTCAAGAAGACCAATATGGTTTTTACATGACAAATTTTCATCAAAAAGTAATCTCAAAAATTTTGTGCATTTTTCACGTTTAATTTTATTTTTATTAATAAACAGTTTAGGCAGCTTTAACGGAAGATTAATTGATTGCTTTTTTTCATAAAAAAGAGTAAAGCTATTTTTTTCACAATTTAGGGATAATTTATTTGCTATGAACCAGAGGTTGAAATTTTCGAGCTTAATATTTATAGCTTCAAACAAAGTCTTTGCGCGAAGACTTTGTTTGAAACTATGATATTGAATTCGAAAAATTCTAAAATTGATGAAAAATTCTAGAATTGATTCTAATATTGAACTCGAAAATTCTAAAATTGATGACATTCCCAGCTAACAAAAAACGTTCAAGAACGTTTGACAAACGTTGTGAACGTTTGAGTACGTTCTATCAACTTTATAGAACGTTCTTAAACGTTTGCAACGTTTATTGAACGTTTTTTGTTAGCTGGGTTTTTAAATTTTTACATTATTCAACATTTTAGTATTATTTTTTTTAGGGTTTCCGTAGTAACTGGAAGTAATAAACTTGAAGTAAATCACGCTGGCGACACAATTTTTTTTGAATGGCATCTGAGAGGTGTTGTTGATTAATTTACAGGAACTAAATCCAAAAATGATCTCAGTATTTCTCTACTACGTCAAGTTTTAAACCATATGGTTTTCACTTTCTTAAAAATTATGATAAAATGTTAATTATGAAGTAGTTAGCAAATATAATCTTTTATCCATATATTACCATACAATAGAAAACTAAATAATTGGGCTAGACTGCAATGCTTATTTAACACAAATAATTTTTTTGCAAAACGTATGGCTACTGCATATATAAATTTTGCACAGGACTATTGCGTTTAATGCTCCAACAAAAGTTGGCCAGAATATGTATATTCTATCTAACTTTCAAGTCTTGATGAAATCGTTTTCCTTACTCATCACTGACAACACAATGAAGAAAATGTAGTTTAATACTCATATTGCAATTAAGTACTTTATAATTTTCTAATAGTGAGCAATATTTTTGTAATTATGTGGTTTTCCAAGAAAGTTCTTGACGATGTCTTTAAATGGTATTAAATCATTCTTCTCAAGATTCAACATAGTTCTGGCAAAATGTTTTTCTTTGATAAACTATCAAACTTGTGGACCGGCCTTATTCTTTTCAATTAACAGGCTAGGAAATGCAATGACAATGTACTTGAAAAAGTCACCATCTGTTCGCAGTACTTCCACAAAATGCTCCTCGAGAACTAACTTTATGTGCAAAGGTATAAGAATTATTTTTTTTCTGACAACATGTGGTTCATGTAGGCCAGAATGTTTCAAAACAATTCTTATCTTGAGCTCTGCTATCCTACATACAGAGAAACCAAGGATACTTTGTGTAACCAACTTGCTGACCAAGAAGGAAGCACGCTATTTTAAGGTTAACTTGATTGTCTACTGATGCTTCTAATACTTTAATAACTTTATGATTCTCTTTATTTTTCACCAAGAATACTCAATAGACACTGCACCAAATAAGTTGCCATTAGGTAGCAGTGGGCACTTAAAGCTCCGTTTTGAGATACAAGTGATCATTTGCCATTGGATTGTAGTCTAAAAATCTCTATTCCTTTGGTAAACCAGAAATGGTATGACCATGGTATGGTAATGAGAGCAAATATATACCATATATGGTAAACCAGATATGGTAATGAGAGCAAAACACAAAATTACTCTCAATTTGAAAGTGCTGCATAAAAGTACTTTCCCTTACTTTTCAAAAGTAAGACACTTTCACTCCTTGTTCAAGTAAGTTTTTTTCATTCAGTCTTGATGGTAGGATTTCTAAAGCTTTTTTCGATACACCTAAATACCATCCTAAATCATTCAACTCGGGCTGATCAAATCCATTACAAGCTGATTTGTGATGCTCAAAATCTGCATCATTTCTGCCATTGCCTTCTTCAACATCTCTTATTTCTTCTAGAAAAGATAGTTGTTTAAATACTGACACTGAAATTTCATTTGAATGACACAAAGGTCTTATAGCTAATGGTAAACTAGGGTAAACTATTTTCATTTCATTTTTTTTTTCGTTAAAACCTAATGTTTTTACTAGACAAAAGTAACAATGTAGAGTGATCTTTTTGCCACAGCCAAACCGTGGTAATCCCGAATGCTAACTTTTCTTGTGTTCTCTTGGTCCACATACGTATACTTTTGACACACTGCTTCCGCACTTTGTGAGGGGCTTTTGAGTTGTTTTAATCACTAATTTTTATATTGAAATATGCAAAATAGCCTTTTTAATATTGATGTTTCCTTTTTTACTTGGAATAGTAAAACTACCACAATTATTGCAAAATGAATCAGGTGGTTATTTAGGCATTTACGACGAAAAGTAACAGAAACAGACATAAAATAAAGGAAATATAAAAACAATTAGATGTAAAACATGTTTTGATTAAAATTAAAAGTTCACACAAAAAGGAGCTTATAGCCCAGACAAACTACTTTTGTAGATTGTATAGTAGACTGTTCCAATCGCAATCAGCTGGTAACTCTTTTACGGTGAAAATTTGTTTAACTAGTCCAAAGGGTGGAGAAAAGTTGACGTACTAAAAAAAACTTTCATTGACTTGAATATTCAGCAAAGAAAGATGCAAATTTTACTTTTATTCTTTCTAGTCACAAACAGTTGTTACAATAAAATTTAATATTATTGATTACATTAATAAAGAAAATTAGAAAAAATTTAATATTATTGATTTAAGTTAATAATGAAATTTAAAAAAAATTGTCGCAGCCAATTGTCGTTTTGAATTTTTTCGGTTTTTTTGTTTGTTTTTCTATTTTAGAAAAAAAGTAGAAATCTATTTGATAAAACTTTAAAAAAAAAAAAAAAAAGCATCTTAAATACATTTATTAAAAAAGAGTTTTCTATATATTTTGTAAAATTCTCTTTGCAATAAGAAAACGATTTATTAACATTTTTCCCTTCAAGCTTGACAAAAAGTTTCCTCTGGTTGCTTGGTTACTCCGATCGAAAAACATTTTAATGGAAAATCTTTTATTAAAAATGTTTTGAAAAACACATTTTTTATTTATGTAAAGATTTAAAACAAAACTTAAAAAAGATTTAATAGTTACTAGTAAATAAAAGTTAATGATTAAATAAAGTTTTAAAGTCAGAAAAAGTGTCAAAAATAAAATGACTATAAGCGTTTATTTTTATTTTAAATTTATTTTAGGTTAAAAAGTTTTAAGTTTTAAGTTTAAATTTATTTTAGGTTAAAAAAAGGCAAAATGGGTTTGTTCTTAGTTCGATGTCTAGTTCCTGATCAAAGAGGTAATCAAAACTATAAAATTATAAAGATACTCGTAACTTATATGTATAAAAACAAAATTAGTTAGTTTTAAAAATACCATTAATTTCAAATGTGTTTCATTTTTAAAAAAATCAGCAAATAAATTTCGCGTTAACAATTTTCTCCGCAGACAATTTAAAAAGTCGCAGAGAGCTACGATTTGCTACGACAAGACACACGCTGCAAACACCCATTTCAGATAGAGAAAACGAGAAAACTTCGCCATTGAGAAAGTCGCTCCGTAACTTATTTCGTAAGTAGTTGTTAGTTAAAAGTTAAAAAAAAATTAAATCAAATTAAAAATAATAACAAAAAAATAATAATAATAATAATAACGGGTCAAAAATAGGAAGAACAACATTTTTTAAAATTCTTTTATTCTTGAGATGAAAATGTGTATTTGTTTTAGAAAATGTGTTAATGTTTTAGAAAGTTGCTTTCGGAGTTTTATTACTGATAGTCGTCTTCGAAAATTATCAACTATGAGTGTCATATCAAGTAAGTTTTTATTCATTTTCAAAGAGTATTGAAAATTTAGTTTATTTGTTAAATTATTTTAATTGATAACAAAAAATGGATTTTTTTATTTAAACTCTCAGTTTCTGAGTCTTTACAAGTTGTTTTACTTACAGAATGTAAATTTAAAAAAAACAAATATTTAAAACAAGTTTAAAGCCTTAGGATAGTTATAAACGCTTCATCGATTGCTTTTTTATTACTCTAAATTTAATTTGTTGTTTTGAAAAAGTGAAACTAAAAATAACTAAAACGAAATATTTGAAAAATTCAAATAAATTTACAAATAAGGAAGGCTATGTAATTTGTTTTAATTACGTACTGTTGCTACTTTTACGTACAAAACAATGCCTAAATTTGATGGTTCTACAAAACTAAATTTTTCAAAAAGTTTTATTAAAGTTCTAAAGAAAAAATTTAGACAATTTAAGTAAACACACTGGTTTAAAAACTGATTTTCTGTAATTCATAATGGTCAATAATGGTACATTGCCCTCCATCTTGTCTAAATTTCTTATTATATTACAGGGAAAGCAGAGTAGGGGAATTAGGGTAGGGAGAGCGTTGCAATGTTAAGCTCTAAAATAGATTATTTTCTTTTTTAGGTTAACATCTAAAATTATTATTATTGGGCATAATACGTTTTTAAAACGCTTTTAAAAATTTTTTTATTAGGTTTAAACCTAGTAAAAACGTCCAAAGAACGTTTAAAAAACGTATAAAATATGTCCACTGGGATCTAGATAATTTTAGTAAAGACGAGTTTTTTAATGAACTCAATTACATTTTGTCTATTCAATGTTATCTTCTAATGACATTAACCCGGTGGGAAATGAGTCAGCAACTAGCGAGCGACTAGCTAGCTTTTTAGCGATATTCAAGCGATTTTTTTTATCTTATTTTATTCTTTACTAAAGTCTCTACCATCTTTAAAAATGCAATTATTAGTGTTGAGTCTATTATAATTATGAGAATAATTGAACTTTAAACATTGCGATTTTGTAACAATGTGTCGCTAGCTATATATCGTAGCTTTGTAGCTAGTTACAAAATATCTACAAATCTATAGTTGGTTGATAGCTACATACCAAAATTTTTTTGATAGCGATTTTATTACAATATGACGGTAGCTACAATAGCCTGTGGATCTTTAGCTTATTAAGCTAGCTGTCCTCGTAACCACATCGCTGTCTTTATCTTTAAAAATATCGAAAGATTTTCGCTAACTTAAGCTGGCGATCCTCGTGGGCAAATCGCTATCTTAAATCGTAACGATTATAGCTAGCTATTCGCTAGCCGATTTCCCACCGGGAAATAGACAAAATGTAATTATATAACAGGGAAAGGCTTTATTACATTTTGTCTATTCAATGTCATCTTCTGATGACATTGAATAGACAAAATGTAATAAAGTTTCTTTTCTATGATAAATATCTTTCTTTAAATTTTTTTACCTTCATGCCAAATAAACACCAATATCTATTAAACATCGAAAAAACGTTTAGACAAAACGCTTTGTTTTGATCGACTACCATTTAGAAAATAATCTAGAATAATTTTCAAAACTAAAAATTGTAAAAATCTTTAATTAACAATTCTTTAATTAATAGTTCTTAAAAACCAAACAAAGTTTAATGCCACAAAGCAAATACTATATTTATAGATTTTTAACTTATTTATGCTTAATTGTTTTTTCAAAGTAAATTCAATCAATTAGATTTAACTATAAAATGATACTCAGAACAGATTTTTAACCTAACAAGTAATAATGTTATCTTTATTTAGTGATAATGCAGTCTCTATCTATTGATAAAGTTTTTGTTAATGTTGTTAATTGTTATTGGTATGCTTATTTTAACATTAGGTTTTATTTAAGAATTATTTAAGTTTTCCACAACTGTCATTTTTACATATATTCGTATGTTAAGGTTTTGTTAAATAAGTTTTAAGCGAGGCTTGACGTTAAGGCTATATATTGTCTTTCTCTAACCGCCTTTGGTGTGTGTTGGCAAAGTCAACACACACCAAAGGCGCTAAAACAACTTCATCAATATGCCGCATGATTAATACTCTAATATTGAACAGAGTTGCAATTATTAACTAATTATAGCAATTATTATTCAATTGCAATTGCAATAACTGCAAAATGCAATTATTATAATGCCAAATCAAAACCAATTGCAATTAATAATCAAGCACAGCAAAAATCTATTATTTATATTTATTAACATAATCAAGTGTTTATTATAATCAACAAGTGAAGAATGTAAAATAGGTTTAAATTTACGTCAACCGACTAAATAAATAAAAAATTTGTCAACTGATTTTTTTTTTTTTTTTTTTTCCTGCGTACCCTTAAAATTTAATGTTTAGATCTTTAATGATTATTTATCTATCTCTAAAATTATGTTTTTAACTTAAAAATTGACTAAAGCATAGGGGAGAGTCGGGTAATGGCGAACGCGGGGTAACTCCGAACAAGGTCGTTACGGCATGTTAGAAAAAGATAGTTGACAATCCATTTTTTTCTGACAAGAGTGGGTTCCATGCTTAGTTCCAGACGTGCAATAGTGTAGTATAGATGCGCAGGTTCTCAAATGCGTATAAAGAACAGAGCACTAATAAATTAGTAAAAAACACTTATGTAATTTTGTATTCAATTCGTACTTTTACCTTCTGTATACAGAAGGTAAAAGTACACACACATACTTTCTAATACTATAGTACCAGAAAGTATCCAGGTCACCTTACAATCAATTCATGTAACATTTTATTTGGTTTGAATAAAATTTATTGATATTTGTTTCTTTAACGTTTGATTTAGTTAAAATTTTATTCAATAATATTTTAACGCTTCAATCAAGTTTGATTTGCTTTGATCAACATTTTATTCGCTGTTAGCCAATAATGTTTGTGATTACCCCAAGGTATGTTCGGAATTACCCAACGTACGTAGGGTAATTCCGAACACCAAAGGTTTTGTTTTTAATCGAATTTTTTATTTTTTAATAAGATATATGAAAATTGCTTTTGAGTGTTTCTAACCAAAGGGTTAGACTAAATAATAAGCAAAAAATATCATTAATATATAGTAATAATTGTCTTTAATTCGCATTCCCGCTTAGCTGTTCGCCATTACTCCACTCTCCCCTACTCTTAAATATAATAATTATTTTCTAGAACTTGTCTAGTTTCTAGCTTTTTTCCCAAACCAAAAGTTAAAAACTATCTCTTACAAAAAACATGTCAAAATTTTTTTATAATATTTGACAAAAATGTAAGGTAGTTTCATAAATTTAATGAAACTTTTATTAAAATGATAAATTTTAATAAGAGTCTCTATTATAAAATAATGATTAATACCAATATCGCCGGTGATTGTGCACAACCGTGTAACTAGTATTGGCTATTAATATAATAATAATAATAATTTTAACACCGAATTTCTATTGTTGACATTACAAAAACATGAATAATACTCTTTTATACTAAAATAAACCCAAAATCTGTTGAAATAAAATAAATAAAGTTTTAACCTTCTCCAGAAAAACGCGGTATCATCCAATGCCAGCCATGCGGTTTTTCTCCGACAATATAAGACCTCCTTAAATAAGTCAATAAATAATAAAAAAAAGGAACATTAATAAATAAAAGTGACTGTAGATGAGATCAAAAAGATTTATTAAAAAGATATTGATATCCTTTTAAACAGGTGCTCAAATTATTAGTTTTTAGATCCAGATGAGTAAAAAAAATAATGAACTTAACAGAGATTATTAATGATACTATTTTACTTTATCATATGATTTTTATATTACTATATTATAATATGAAAACTTTTTTTGAAAACTTAATTTAGTTTTTTAAATAGTTGTGTGCACTATAGTTTTTGAGACTTCCTTTGCAACCACCAATGCAACGAATTTGTTGATTTTTTAACTTTATCAAGTTTTTAGATGAAATTTTTAGTCTTTAAAACATCCTGTTTGCTTTAAAATACCCTGTTTGCTTTAAAACATCCTGTTTGCTTTGAAACATCCTGTTTGCTTTGAAACATCCTGTTTGCTTAATATTTTAGCAGTTTTCAAAAAAAATTTAGAATAAGTTTTACAGCTTCACGTTTAATAGTTAATATCATACCTTTTGACTATATTCTAGTGGGCACAAGACCTAAATAAGACGTTTTTTTAACGTTTAAAAGGCGTCTAAAACGAGACCAACTAAAATTTGTAAAAATTATGAAAAAGGGATTTGATACGAAAAGAAGATAAAGAAAATGAAGAAGGGACATTTTTTTCATTAATTATTATTACAAAAAAAAATTATATCTTTAAAAATAATTATCTGTTTTACACAATTTTTTATTTTACTAAATTTTATGAAGCTCTAAAAAAAATTTAATGATCTTGCCACGCAGAAAAGCACGATATTACTCGTCGATTTTACTTATAATATCTCGATATTACTTAAATGGCGCGAACAATCATTTAATATTGTATCGTAGAGTAAGCTAATGTAGTTTATCTAATCATTAAATTGGTTTTTACCTTGACCTAAAAACCAAAAGATAAATATTATTTTGTAAATTTTACAATAAATACTATTAACATTTGCTATTAACAAAAAAATAAAATTGACAATAAACATTTTTCAAGAAATATTTAAGTAAAAATAATTTAATAAAATTTAGGCATAGAAATCCCTGAAATCATAGAGTTTCCTACACTTGGATTGGAAGGTTTACTGGAAGAAACAGATTTTACAAAAGAAGAGCTTCAAAGAATGTATCGAGGATTTAAAACTGTATGTGCACATCAAAGATTATTTATTAAGTTTTTATTATTCAAGACTTATTAAAACAACTTTAAAAACAAGCTAAATTACTTTGTAAGTATGAATCAAACCCACAAAGTAACTTAGTTTTTTTAGTATATTATTTAAGCTTCTAGATAGAAATGAAGTATTAAAATTTGCATCAGTGATGACGCCAAACTCTAAAAAAAAGTGTGAGGATTATATAGATTTTTTTATATTTTACTAAAATTATATTTATTAACTTGTTTTTACTTTGACCTTAGTATACTTTGTTTGTAGTTTTTACTTTCAACTTAATGTGCAAAAGTTAAAAAATAAATTTTCTAGTTAAATTTTAGAGATTTTGGTTTAGTACTAAATTTTTAAGAAAAAGATTTTTTAACAAATTTTTTTTGTTTGTTTGTTTGGGTAACTTCACTAATTACTGGTGATATTTTAATAAGAATAACAATAACTACCTGTAGCATGAAATAAAACTATAAATACAAAGAGTACATCAAATTTTAAAGAATAAAATCTCTGTTAGTTAAAGTTAGAATAATAATTAATATTTTGTCACCTAATTTTATATAATGCAATAATAAAGATAAAATTTTACCAAATAACGGCTACTTTAACATACTATACTAAATACTGGCCATTATAATTGTTTATTAGCCTATGGTCATAAAACTAGAAGCGAATATGTTAAAATTTATAAAAAAAAAAAAAAAAAAAATCTTTATAAAAAAACAAAATTTTATTTTGTTTAATATATGAGCCTACTTTCAGTTTTTTTCTTTACATTCAAAATTCTAAGCTTTTCCTTTTTTTAAATTTACGAGCACCTTCCTCAGCCTTGTCTTCCAGGTTCAAATTGCTGGCCATATCTAATTTTAATATATTTTTGAGTTATTACATTTATCATGTTTTATTATATATATATATATATATATATATATATATATATATATATATATATATATATATATATATATATATATATATATATATATATATATATATATATATATATATATATATATATACATTTATATATATATATATATATATATATATATATATATATATATATATATATATATATATATATATATATATATATATATATATATATATATATATATATATATATATATATACATTTATATATATATATATATATATATATATATATATATATATATATATATATATATATATATATATATATATATATATAGATATAGATTTAAAAGTTTTTGAATAAAAATTACTTTAAGGGGCTTCTCAAAACTCCTAAACATTTAATGGGTCCTTATTAATAATAAAAAAAGTCCTGTTGGGTCTCAAAAGACGCGAAATTATATGAAAATTTCAAAAATAATGGTTATTTTAAAATAAGTAGTTTATTAATTTTAGACTTTATTGAATAGTTATTGAAATACTAATTACTAACTATTGAAACTTATCAAATAAAAATAAAAAAGTTGATCTTCTACACAGTTCTTTATATATAAGGAATAAAAAAGGTTACCCTATATTTAATACCATTTTAACAATGATGTTGTTAATATTCACACGCTTTATTATATAGTGGTTGTACCCCAAAAAAAAGAAATTTTTTTTTCATTATTAATTTAATTTCAGCTATTTTTATTTATCTAGTCTATTTCTGTGAAAAGAAATAAATAACTTAAAGAATAACTATAAAGAGTTCTAAATTATCCTTTAAAGATTTGGTACTGCAAAAATTAGCCCTTAGAAATATATGTTTTGTATTGTTTTAAAAAATACAAGTAAAGTGTATATACTTTTTTGTTTGTTGATGACTATTTTTTACAAGAACACATTTTTTAGTTTTTGATCTTATATCCATACAAATAAAGTTTTGTAAGACATAGATGGATTCTTTATTAACATTTATTTTGGATGTACATATTTGAGTAATTTTCTTATAAATGGGTTTATAAAAAGTATGCTATAGCAAGAGAAAGAAGTTTTTATTAGTTAAATTATTATTTTGTCAATAATTAAAATGACTTCCAACAAACTGTTTTTCGGAACATCAACCAAGCCATGGAAGTGGATTGGCTTCTTAAAAAAAAGTCTTTGATGATGATAACGAAAAATGTTTAACATGATTATGAACTTAACTGCGTTTTTAAATTGGCATTAACAATTGAAAGATGTTTAAAACTTACGAGCAACCGTGGTGCAGTGGTTAGAGCGCTTGCTTTAGAAGCAAGAAATCCAGGTTTCGAAGTGAGCTCTAGTTAAATGCTCCTTTGCGGTGTCTTGTGACAAAACCGTTAGTTCTTCTTGGAACACCTGAAATAAAAATTTTAAAAAAAGAGTTAAAGTTTAAGAAATCGGAAAAAATACACTGCAATTAAACAAATTAGTTGCTCAAGAAATATGCATCAAAGTATGACTAAACATCGTTGCCGCAACATTATTAGGAAAAATCATGCTACTTGAATTAAATCCTCTAAAGAGAATACACAAAAAGCGTAGAGATAACAACTTGGTAAAAATTATTAAAAAACGTAAATTATTAATGTAGCTGTCAGTAAGATAGTTCATGGTAGCGTAGAAGATGCTCTTCAATAAATTGTATTGTCACTGCAATAAAATGTTGTTCTAAAATATAAAAATAAAAGATTGTTCTCCCTGCAAGACATGGTCAAGAAAAAAAGGTTTTCCTACTTATGATACCTAGAAGATCACACATAACTACAAAATTAATTATAAGGTTATCTCAGAATAATTGGAATCTGAGGACAAATATTTAGACAATCTGTCAAGAAGCTCAATGAACCTGACATACATCGGAGATGGAGATACCAAGTCTTATATGCAATTTCTTGTTAGACGCGGTTAGAAACCAACTTTAATCAATAGGTTTAAGTTTTTGGTATAAGTATTCAGAGTATTATTGTTCATTGAGACCAGAAAAATTACTTGCAAAATTAATTTACACTAAAAACTGTAATTGAGCACTTTAAACCAATTCTTTCTCACAAAAATCATGGTACTGAGGATTTGCCAGAGTAATGTTAAATGTACAACATAAAAAGATGTTGTGTACAACATAAAGAAACAGAAGATGTTGTGCACAACATAAAGAAACAGAAGATGCTGTGTACAAAGTGGTTTAATTGTGTTGAAATCTTACCATAGTTCTAGTATTTTTTTATTAGGTTTTTCTAATTGTTAACATTTCATGGATTTTTTGACTTTTCATCAAAAATAACCTTTTAAGCATTTATTGCAGTTCCTTTAACTCCTAGCATATGTTATTGTGTATTTGTAATATGTTGAACAAAACAAAAAAACAAAAAAGTTTGCACATTGTGAAGCTCTATATAACTTTTTCTAAACTGAAATGATTTATAATTTAAAAGTTGATGAAATTTTATTTACTGCATAATACAAAACTACATTAAAGTTTGATTTATAGAATATGTTTTCAAGATATTGTTTAAAAGAGGTTCCAAATTTACTAATTTATACGCAAAATTAAGGAGTGGGTGGGTTAAAAAAATAAGCTTAGTTGCTAAGCAATTTAAAAGTTATTAACTAAATCATTCCTAAAGTAACTTTGTTACTTACTTTAGGAATAATTCATAACTTTAGAAAAACATAAATATTTCGACATCTATATTTAATTTTTTTTTTCTTTTTACCACCTTAAAATATACCTGTTGTTAAAAAATCTATATAACGTGATTAAAAAAATATTTTTGGTTGTTTTTTATTATTAGTATTGTATATTATTATATAAAAAATTTGCGTTAATATAAACAATTTTGCTATAATATTTTATTGTAGAATATACAAAAAGTTTAAAATAAAACGTATTTTGTCCGTATAAAGAGGTTACATACACTTGTTCTATAGCCTTACAAAATAATAATGATATTATTTAAAATTTCTTACTTTCTATAAATCATTTTTGTATTTAAAAGTGTCGGTTAATTATTTATAATACTAATTACTTTTAAGGAATGTTCAGAAGGATTAATAGATCGAAACACTTTTGTATCTATACAGTATTTACTATACCCAGACGGAGGTACAAATTTTTCAAATCAATTTGATGATGAAAGTTTTTAGCTTGTTACATATTTCAAAAAACAAGTAATTATAAATATATTTCATAAGTTGCTTATAAGTCATTTAAAATTAATTTTGAATTAAAAGTTTTTCGTTTTATTACATTTATAAGTCTTTTTAATCTTAAATTATTTTTTTTTAGTTCTTTAAGATTTTCGTTTTATCATTAAGTCAACCTTCTTTTCATTTCACAAAAGCCTTTATGATGACAGGGTAATAACGACAACCTATTTTTAAAGCAGTTTCCTGCTAGAAACCGTTGACCATGGACGAGTTTTCTTAATTTAAAATATGTAAGTTTTAGACATTAGGAATACTTTGAATAAAGAATTTTAAAGCATACCCTAACTGGCATTACTTTAAATAGCTGGGTAAATTTAGATGCAAATCTTTTTTTTTTTTCAAGTTGTTATTATGACAAGAATTCATATGAAACTGTTCAAACCTAAAACATCATTGTATTAAAAATAGTTTATAATTTTATTATTTAAAATTTTGCTTTTTTTATTGGTTGTTATTGTTCCTTAAAAAATAATTTAAATATTTCGAATATTTTAATTTAAAATAATAAAAGTTTAATGAAGTTTTTCAGCTTACTACAGTAAGCTGAAAAACATGTTCCATTGCTAAAGCATAACATTTTTCAACTTTGTTTTATACATTTTTATACATACATTTTTTATATATTTATGAATAACGTTCAAAAAAAAAACCCTACATAAATTGTCAGAAACATGAAACAATTTTAAGATTATCATTTATTGGCTTCAGTACATAGATCGGCATACATAGATATAGGCATGACGGGTATTTGATAATTGCCTTTAGGCATGAAACTGTTAATGCTATATATATATATATATATATATATATATATATATATATATATATATATATATATATATATATATATTTATTTATTTATATTAAATGAATAAAAACAACTATTGATGGAACTCTGAGTTTCATGCCTTTCGGCAATCATCAGCCATTGTGTATTTCGTCACTTAAAAACCGTTTAAAAATTACAAATTAAAATTACGGTGGAACGAGTTCTGACGTTACCAAACAAAACAAAACAAAACAAAAATACGTCAAAGGTTTTAGTCCCCGGTATCAAATAAGGATAGTAAAAATTTTTTTGAATGCCGGCACTTTGATATTATTTCATATCTTTTATTAAGTAAGTTTTCTCCCTTATATGATAATATGTGAAACTTCTCGCGGAGACAAAGATTACAAACTTTTGATGCTTGATTGTAGGGCTTACATTGTGCTATTATCTTCCATGTAATCACAGGATTTATATGTTTCGACTTTAGCTCCCATATTTCTTTGGAAAGTTCAGTGTCATTTTTATATTTGGGTGCATTGAAAGATTTAAGATGGTTGGCATATCTTAATTTAAATGTGGTTTCACTTATACCGAAATAAACTTTATCTTTGCATTGAGGATCACCAGAACTTACAGTGGCTTGGTATACGATATTGCTAAAAAGGCATTGGTTATTTAACGGGCAAATATTTTTGTCTATGCAGTTACATTTTTTTGATGTTTTATTTTTATCGCTATGTAAAATTTTGTTATTATGCGTATTTATTAAAGACTTGACATTAGGCATGCAACTATAGCTTACTTTAACATAGTTTCGATTAAAAATTTTATGAAGCCTGTGTCCTACTGGAAAGTGTTGGTCAGTTAAAGCTAAAAAGCGATTTCCAATTTTAGTTTCAACATTTTTGCTAAACGGGGGGTTGTACCATATAATTTTACGCTTGCGATGTCTTTTTTGATTTTTGTTTATTTGCGGTTGGTAGGTGAGTTTTGAATTGTATCCTAATTTACGTAAAGCCTCTTCATACGGAATAATTGAGTTATTGAACACAGTTTCATTTACTGCCATATTCGATAATCTTAACTCAATAGTGCGAGGGATTTCTTTTATTATATTAGGTGGATGGTTTGACTCTGAATGAACATACATAAGTTGGTTATTAGGTTTACAATACGGTTGATAAGAACTGTCAATCAGGTTCAATGTTACATCAAGAAAATTGACAATTTTAATATTACATTGGATGGAGATAAGTAGGTTGTTACTTTTAAAAATATGTGTAAAATGTTTTTTGATTTTTTCCATTTGCTGGCCGCTTTTGTTTTCAAAAACAGCAAGCCCGTCGTCACGATACAAGCCAAAAGTATTTTTATCGTAATGTTGAGAGAGCTGAAACAACATAAAAATACCAACTAGTTCACAAACTTCAGCTCCATCAAATGCTCCCATTGTGACATCAAATAATCCGCCTCTTTTCTTTATCCAAGCTCAAAACTCACCTACCAACCGCAAATAAACAAAAATCAAAAAAGACATCGCAAGCGTAAAATTATATGGTACAACCCCCCGTTTAGCAAAAATGTTGAAACTAAAATTGGAAATCGCTTTTTAGCTTTAACTGACCAACACTTTCCAGTAGGACACAGGCTTCATAAAATTTTTAATCGAAACTATGTTAAAGTAAGCTATAGTTGCATGCCTAATGTCAAGTCTTTAATAAATACGCATAATAACAAAATTTTACATAGCGATAAAAATAAAACATCAAAAAAATGTAACTGCATAGACAAAAATATTTGCCCGTTAAATAACCAATGCCTTTTTAGCAATATCGTATATTAAGCCACTGTAAGTTCTGGTGATCCTCAATGCAAAGATAAAGTTTATTTCGGTATAAGTGAAACCACATTTAAATTAAGATATGCCAACCATCTTAAATCTTTCAATGCACCCAAATATAAAAATGACACTGAACTTTCCAAAGAAATATGGGAGCTAAAGTCGAAACATATAAATCCTGTGATTACATGGAAGATAATAGCACAATGTAAGCCCTACAATCAAGCATCAAAAGTTTGTAATCTTTGTCTCCGCGAGAAGTTTCACATATTATCATATAAGGGAGAAAACTTACTTAATAAAAGATATGAAATAATATCAAAGTGCCGGCATTCAAAAAAATTTTTACTATCCTTATTTGATACCGGGGACTAAAACCTTTGACGTCTTTTTGTTTTGTTTTGTTTTGTTTGGTAACGTCAGAACTCGTTCCACCGTAATTTTAATTTGTAATTTTTAAACGGTTTTTAAGTGACGAAATACACAATGGCTGATGATTGCCGAAAGGCATGAAACTCAGAGTTCCATCAATAGTTGTTTTTATTCATTTAATATAAATAAATAAATATTGCTCTATTATTTAATAGTATTGAGCACTCTTAAACGCACAAGAGTATTTGTATTATTATTATTATACCATAATAATACACTTTCTATTTTGTATATATATATATATATATATATATATATATATATACGCTACTGTGTGTATATATATATATATATATATATATATATATATATATATATATATATATATATATATATATATATATATATATATATATATATATATACACACAGTAACAACTTTATGGACAGGTTGGACAAATGCCAGGGACCTTATAAAACAAATAGGCGACCTCTAGCAGTACCACCTCCAGGATTTAATTCAGGTGGGGGGTGCATGAAGAACCTTTTTTCTCACTATATCCTCTATACTTTTTTTGTATATGTATGTACCTACTAAATATCTGAGCCCAATCTACGATTATTAATTATGACTCAGTCATTTAAAATTGTGACTGACTGGTCAATAACTTTTTGCCTGCCAGTAATTACTGAATAATGACTCAGTCATTTATACTGATTTATATATTATAATATAACAATATAAAATATATCAACGTGCAGTATTGAAAGATCTTTTAGCACATTACGGTGCGTCAAAACTTGAAACCGACCTACAATGAGTGACGATTGACTGAGTGGATTATGTATGCTTAGTGTACACAAAAAAAGAATAAATAACAATATAAGTAAGTGACCATAGCCCATAGATTTTTTAATGGGAAAATTTTACGTGACCTGACAAAACACGTACGGAGGAGTTTTAATAAATAAACAAAGCTGAAACAAAATTAATTTTGTTGCATTGCAATTAAACGCTGTATTTCGAAAACGTGACTAGTCACACTTTCAAAAATGAGGTTATTTGAAAAAAATTTTTTTTTTTAGGAACAGATAAAAAATTTTAAATAAAATAAATATTTTTTTGAAAAATTAAAAATTTTTTTAGAAAAAATAAAGATAAAATTTTTTCTAGGAAAAAATTTTTTCACTCTCCTGTAAAATCTTAATTTTGTGACTCGTCACGTTTTCGCAATACAGCGTTCAATTGGTTTGCTAGTTTTAGAACAAAAATGTTAGAATTTTGAGTAAAACTTTTATTTAAAATTTGAACAGTTTGTTAATTAAGTGAATAAAAACATTAAACTTCTAAAACACTTTTATTAAATTTATTTACAAATTAATAAAACCACCAGTAAAAAAGTTTTGATTAACAGAGCTAATCGAGGCGAGTGCCCTTCGTACTGAGGTACTACTCGTACGCTGAGTAGGCGGAGCCGGGATTAGAGCGTGCAATCTTGCTGCTACGGCCAATAATATTTCAGAACTTTTAAGCAGCGCTCTAACCAACTGGCTCAAACAATATATTGATATGATATGATAGATACTGTGATATGATAGATACTGTATCATGATATGATAGATACTATGATATGATAGATACTGTTCTGCAGCATAGTCAAAAGTCAGTAGGATCATTTGAGTAAGGCAAAGACGGGCGACCATAGATATAGAGAACCGTTTTACTCGTTATAATCTTTTGAATACTTTAATGTTGACCGCAACTGGTTTGGCATTTCGTTATACCTGAGTCAAGCTTAATGTGAGTGTTGCTGGTTGTTTGCTGATTGATGTGATTTAAATCTTAATTGGAAGTCGGTTAACGGTATAGCTTATCTTGTTATGTAAATGGCAAAATTAGACAGCATGAAAA